GGAGTCAATTCCAACTCATACTAACCCCCCATTGGGTTTCCGAGGCTGTAAATCTTTACAGAAGCAGACTGCCTTATCTTTCTCTAGCGGAGTGGTTGGTGGGTTTGAACCTCTGACCTTTTGGTTAGCAGCAAAATCCCATTTACCCCTACCCCACCAGAACTCCTTGACTGAAGGAAAGGGGCCCAGAGAGATCTCTGGCCTTCTTCCAGGCTTCACAGAACACAGTCTGAGAAACACCAATCTGGCACAGGAATCTAAGGTGGGCACTGCCTATACTTTAGACTGACTTCTGAAAATCCCCTCGAAGTTGGTCATTTGCTTCACAGGTGGCATCTTCCCCACAGAAAGGGACTAACCTGCCAGTTGAGAGTAGGCGCCAACACAACGGAACTCACTATGCAGCTGAACGACAGCACGGAGGGTCCTCTCTACACCCAGGGGCAAGAGAAGGGCTGTCACCATCTTTCCCTGTGAAGCCCACACTGAGATGGGTGAGGGCTGGCTTTCCTCCTTTTAGAGCTCCCTGCTAGTCACTATTGCCTACTGCTGACCTCCCACCCCAACACTCTGCCTTTGTATGGTGTTAAGCATCCAATGGATTGCACACTCCAAATCTCTCCCATCCCTCCGTTTGCAGACCTCCTTTTGATCCCCCATGAACCACCCATGTCTTCACTGCAGTTCATTTAGAAGTTGACAGGAAAGCAGTCTGACCAAATTCAATTATACTAACATGTGAGTGGTTGCTAGTTCCTTTAACCCCATCAGACGCATTTTAAAGGGAAGATGTTTACTAACACCAGGGAGTCTCTGGGGCAGTTGTTGTTGTTGTTATGTGCCGTGGAGTTGGACCCGACTCATAGTAACCCCTCCTTGGGTTTCCAAGACAGTATCACTACGGAAGTAGATTGCCCCATCTTCCTTCCGAGGAGTGGCTGGTGGGTTTGAACCACCAGCCTTCTGGTTAGCAGTCAAGTGCCTTAGGCACTATGCTACCAGAGCAGTACAACAAAGTAAACACCTCTAGTGGTGTGGGAGAGGGTATACTTAGGTAGGAGATACTATCTCTGCCTGGGACTTTACCCCAGTAAATTTCCCTACTTAATTTTCAGCTCCCCGACTGCTAATCCATAAAATCTCAAAATGCTTAGGAGGCTTTATTATTATTATTATTTTTAACAATAGCTCCCATGGTGGCAACAGCCACGGTGGTCACTTGTAAATCTGGAAACATCTTGAACACTCTGTCATTAGTTTCATGTATGACGCAAAACAGAAATATTTTCAAGTGCATGTGACTAAGAGTAAGAAAAATATACAACTATATTTAAAACACTTAAATATTTCTAACAAAATATCATACATTCAGTTTAAACAAGAGTTAATATCCAGACACACTTTTCCAAAATATCTGATGCTAGTTGAAATTTAGTGACCATGAGATTTTCGAAGATCCTTCTAATTAGCAAAAGGTGTACAATTGTGAAGCACTGTACCATGTTTTTCTGCAAACATGTCAAATGCAAACTGATGTCTCTCTCATAAACTGAAATACTGCCACTTTATTTTTCTGAACGGTGCTTTTTGGCTGTTAGCAAATCTCATAGCTTTTTTCCATTAAAGACAATAATATACATCCCCACCCCGCCCAAACAACTGCAAACTTCTTTGTGTGTAAAAATCAGCATCTAAACGTGTTCATGCTTCCGTGTTATCTGAACTACACTGAGATCTTTACAAAAAGGAGATTCACCAAGTGTAATAGGCCTACACTAAAATCTCGGCTTTGAAAGAGCATCAGACGTGTCACACTTGTCATTTCCAAGTCACTGCTGTTACACTCACAGACACGGCAAAGAGCTTGAAATATCAGAAGAAAAACATTGCCCCCACTGGCTTTTCCAGTAAAGAAAATGGACCACGAACCAATACATCTGCGTGAAAATGGCCCGTCAATTTTAGTCCCCTTCCCCCCAAAAATGAACAATGCCACCAGTTCCTGCTAATACCCATAAGCTTCCTGGCCAAAGCTCTACGCGATCAAACAGAGGCCCTCAGTGTGCCGACTCTGGCGAAGCAAGCAGAGCAGCTTCTGCAGTTTCCTTCTTTCTGCCTCCATCAGCCAGTCCCCTAGATCCTGTGTTCGTTCCTTCCGCTCACCAAGATTCCGAGCAGCGCAGTATACAACTTTCCCCAAAAATGAGATACATAAGGTCACTACATAATACTGTGGAGGAAGTAAGGACAGCTTGTCAGTTGGGGAATCAAGGCACTTGGTAGCAGGAGGCAGGGAGCAGTCCGGAGAGGATCCTCTCAGTGAGTCAACAGTTTGAGCCGAGTAAGCCAGCTGACCAGTAGTGATGGCTCTGTGGAGGACGACTTTGTGGATGAAGAAACAGCTTTCTTTTTGGTCCCCTCCTCCTGGAACGGAATCGTGGCGCTGCTGTGGAGGTCTGAACTGATGTAGCACCGGCTCCCCCGGATGTAGTCTGCACCTCGAACGAGAGGCCTCTCCGTGGAAGGCTTGGAGAAACGGTAGGGTGGGGAGGAGCTTTCTTCAACTATAGGGGGGATCCGCTCGTTGCTGAAGTATCGACAGAGGGCGTCCTCACCTGTTGTCAGACAAAGCCAACACCTCCATTAGTGTGAAGCCCACACCGAGACGGGCACTGAGACCATCCATTGCACCAAGCCCTGCAGTGGACCTTGCCTGCTCTAACTTCTGATGCCACTTCCGAAGGTGGGTCCCATATCCTGCTTAGCCCCCTGCCCCAGGATGTGCCCCAGGGTCTCTCGGATGGCAAGGCCCACCTGATCTGAAGGCATCTCCTGGGTGTTTAGGGAGCAGAAATACAAAAGGCCCATCTTACTTCAAGAGGCTCTGGGGGAACAATGGTTAAGCTTAAAGCTACTAATAAAAGGTCACTGGTTCAAACTCACCCACTCTGGGAGAACGACCCTGTGGAGAAATTCTACTCTGTCATGTGGGGTCGCTGTGAGTCAGAATCGACTCAAGGACATCAACCACAACATCTTACTGCAGTAGTGCCTGAGAGATAAAGGACAGGACAGAGGCCAGGAACAGCACTTCATTCCTGGTATAAGAATTCGCACAATTTCACTAAAATCAAAAAGCAGCGAGAAGGCCTGTAACATCACCTCTCCCGGCTCGAGTCCTGGCTCAACGCCACAGCACAGCACGCAGCACGGGCCCCCAGAGCAGTGGCTCTTATCCCACAGCAGCCCTAAGGGGCATTCAGAAGAAGGGGGCTGTCTGTGGTTGTCACTCTGAATAAGAGGCAGGCACTATTCACCTTTTTTAGTTCATAGGGCTCAAGGATTTGAATGCCCCCTGAAACTTGGAGCACTCCCCAAGGAAAACCCCCTCAGGCAGAGTCTTGGATGTCAAAGAGACTAACTAAAAACGCAGGGCACTTTGGTTATATGCAGCCTTCTTGTGATCCAGAAATTCCCCTGCTAAAAACACTCCAAAGATCTATGTGCAAGGATACTTATTGAAGTATTATTTTAAGCGGAGACAAAAAAGTATTGTAAAATGCCCACTAATAGCAGACTGAATGAGCAGGTGTGACAGCCATAGATTGGTTTATCGATGCAGCTGTTTGAAGAAAAAAGATTCTAGAAAAATGTGGCCTATCATTACATGGGGGTAGGCCACATTTTTCTAGAATGTTTTTTCTTCAAACAGCTGCATCAATAAGCCAATCTATGGCTATCACACCTGTTCATTCAGTCTGCTATTAGTGCACATTTTACAATGCTTGTTTTTTTTTGGCATACTGCCTAAGGAATTTGACTGCTAACCAGAAGGCTGACGGTTCAAACCTACCAGCCACTCCTCGGAAGGAAGGCTGAGCAATCTACTTCTGTACAAATGCTGCCTTGGAAACCCACGCAGGGGTTGCTATGAGTCGGGGCCGACTCGACGGCAGTGAGTTTGGTTTTTTGGTATTATTAGACAGCATTCGCTTCACACCGCATCACTGACCATCTCTTCATCTATTTTGTACACCGTTTCTAAGTGTATAATATAAACATAGGAGCAAGTGAGGAGCAACACTGGCTACTTCGGGATGGAGAGGAGATCCATGCCGAGTTCTGTTTTCTTGTTCCTTCTAGATGTTTGACAAGGTACTTGTTTTGCTTTAGTAATCAAAGGGGAAGATTAGTTTTAAAGCTTCCACTGTCAAGGCCACAGACTGGATGATTGCATTTGCATGGGATGTCCAGAAAAGGCAAATCCATAGAAAGAGAAAATAGATTAACTCGTGTCGGGACCTGGGGGCAGGGGGGAGGGGTGTGACCACCGCTGGGCATAGCGCTTCTCTCTGGAGGGCTGCAAATGCTGAAGTTAGGCTGTGATGATGGTGGCACTACTTGTGAGTATACAAAAACCACGAAGCGTGTACTTTAAAAGGGTGAATTATGTCAGTACACCTGTTCTGCCCATCGTGCAGACATCTCTCACGGTAAAGCAATCAGAGTAAGGAACACGGGGAAGGAGGGGGCAAGAATGTTTCCCTTTCCTTTTCCCACCTTCACACTCCCTGCATCCATCTCTCAACATGTGAAGGGAAGGAAGACTACACGCCAGCTCCCAAGCCTGGCAAGGAGGAAGTTAACATTCCCGTCTAAACAAAGGACAGCCCTGCCACCTGCTGACAGCTCGGCAGATCTTCACACCACCAGTGGGTGTCTTAAACCACCAAGGGCGGGTCCCACTCTTGCGCAGGGATTCAGGTGACAAAATTTGCCAAGTCCTCTGCAGATGTCAGGGTTGAGCAGGCCCCTACAATGTTCTTCCTTTCTAAGGCTACTGTACTTTAACTTTTCACCTGCTCTGTTTTGCCCCTGCCAAACAAAGTCACAGTGTGCTGCCAGCACTGATAATCAAAGGTAACCTGGCAAAAATAAGAACATTTTTAAACATCTCCTTCAAGACTAGTGGAAAAACCAGTAACATGGATTACAGGGAAAATTAAACTATTTCTTTTCAAATAGTAATTAGTCTCCAACACTAGAGGGATTTGGGAGGGAAAAAAACTTGTTTATCAGAAATCAAACTGACTTTAATAGTCATAAAATTCAGGATGAGATTATTTAGTGAACAGTGTGTTCCTACTGTTTGAAAACAAGGCTGTGGATGCCTGCAGCCTTTGTAAAACACACAAGACTAATCAGGGTATTTACAATCACCAGGATTCTGTCGTTCAGCCATTTTTGAATAAATGGATGTTAGCCATCATCAGCAAACCTGGTTTTAGAGATGAGGAAATGGGGTTCAAAAAGACTCAGTATTCTATCCAGTTTTGACAACCCATTTACAAGTCCCTGCATGGTGCAAACAGCTAACGTGCTTGGCTGATAACCAAAGGGTCAGAGATTCGAGTCCACCGGGAGGCTCCACAGAAGACAGGCCCAGCCCTCTGCCTCCGGACTACGAGCCCCTGTAACCCTTCTGGAGCTCAGGCCCACTATGACACATGCGCGGTCACCAGGAGTGGGGAGCTCACAGGCTGACAACGGCTTCTTAGGAGCGGAGCTGAAATTAGGGACTGGATCTTCCAACTCTTTTGCATTTTTATAAATGAAACTTACCTTTCCTGCCATGGCCTCGAGGTCTAGCAAAAGGGTCCACAATTCCCATCCAGCTCCCGTCCACAGGCATGGACAAAGGCCGGGGTTTGCCTGCACAGGAAGAACAGGAAGGAAGGGGATACGGCCGGTGAGTTTACGGGCTTCAGAGACTCCTCCCCTTTATTTATAACTTTGTTCCCACAGCACAACAACCCCGTAAGCAGAAGCAGTGATGTATTTTAAAAGAAAGGATTTCCAACATCATATTTCCATAGCAAGCAACGTGGACAGAGGTGTGTTGCGTCTGCATGTCCACAGAGCAAGGCAACCCCAGAGTCAAAGCCAGGCACTGAGGGCTGACATTGGAATGTTATCTACCCCCAGCCGGGCGTAGAAGCCAGGCAGCCATGACTCCACGAGGCTCCATGGAAAGGGCTGAATAAAGGTCTCATAGTTCTAGCACTTCATTGAGGTTTATGTCTTCCTCGGATTATCCTACAAGTCTACCAAATTCATCCAGCAGTTCCAAATAAGAAAGGGGGTGAGGAGGTGAAGCCAAAGCAAAGCAAACGACACAAACACTGGGGAGCTCACCATAAGAGGGGGTTTTCTCTCTCAACTTTGTGGGCAGAATACTGGTTTCCACCGAATATCCAGGCAGCTGATCGGAATCAGCAATGGTGAATCTGCGTCTTCGGCTCTCCTGGTCCAAGAAGGAATTCGGGGATTCCGAACCCTGGGGACCAGGCGACGGCTGTTTGCACTTACGGAATCCTCCAAAAGCAAAGCTCCCCTTCTCGTCCCTGGAAGACAGTGGGCAGCGATGAAGTTGCTTACAGTGATCCGCTCAGACCGAAGACTCGCAGGAGTCACACACACTAAGACCAGCACACGCAAGAAACTTGAAATCTTTCTCCGCTAGAGGAAAGGCATGATTTTCTCAACTCCAGCTGCCCCTCCCTCCAATACATCCTCTGTGTTGACTCATGGCATCCTTCCAGTACATACCCCAGAACCAAGCCCAATGCCATCTGGTTGATTCTGATTCACTGCAACTGTATAGGAAAGAGAAGAACTGCCCCGTAGGGTTTGCAAGGCTGTCAGTCTTTACAGAAATAGACTACTTCACCTTTCTCCTCTGGAGTGGCTTCTGGGTTCAAACTGCTGACCTTTTGGTTAGCAGCCAAATGCTTTAACCACTATGCCACTAAAGCTCCTTATCCAATACATTACCCCCCCCCCCAAAAAAAACTGCTATGGAGTTGATTCTGACTCATATGGACTCCCATGGGGTTTCCGAGGCTGTAAATGTTTATGGAAACAGACTGCTTCATCTTTCTCCTGCAGAGCAGCTGGGGGTGTTGAACTGCTGACCTTCTGGTTAGTAGCTGTGCACTTTAACCACTGAACCACCAGAATTCCTTATCCAATACATACCAAAACCCATCAGTTGCCATCAAGTCAATTCCAACTCACAGTGACCCTCACTGGGTTTCTGAGGAAGAAAATCTTCACAGATGGCCCCACCCTTCTTCCGCAGAGGGGCTGGTGGGTTTGAACTGCCAACCTTCTGGCTAACAGTGCAATGCCTTAGGCACTACACCACCACAGCTCTTTTATCCAATACATACAAGTTATATTAAATAAGAATTAATACCATGACTCTATTCAATTAGATCTGTCCTGGAAGAAGTGTAGCCAGAACGCTCCTTGGAAGTGAGAATGGCCAGACTTAATCTCCCCTACTTTGATCACACTGTCAGAGGGGACCATTCCCTGCAGAAAGATATCATGCTTAGTAAAATAAAGGGTCAATGAAAAAGGGAAGACCCTCAGTGAGATGTACTGCCACAGTGGCTGCAATGATGGGCTCAAACACGGGAAGCATTGTGAGGATGGTGCAGGACCAGGCAGGGTTCCCTTCTGTTGTTCACAGGGTCGCTATGAGTCAGCGTTGACTTGAAGGCACCTAACTACAACATTCAGTAAGAAGGAGCACTGCTGGTGCCGTGGTTAAGCACTTGGCTGCTAACCAGATGGTCAGGGATTCAAATCCACAACCCGCTCTGCAGGACAAAGATGTGGCCGTCTGCTTCTGTAAAGAGTATAGCCTTGGAAACGCTCTGGGCAGTTCTACTCTGTCCTGTCCTATAGGGTCGTTATGAGTCAGCAGCAACTTGATGGCAACGTGTTTGATTAAATAAGAGTAATGTCTTTTTTTTCATGTCTAAATGTGCTACCGGTTCAAACCCACCAGCCACTCCTCAAAAGGAAGACTGGGCAATCTACTTCCATAGAGATACTGCCTTGGAAACCCAAGGAGGGGTACTATGAGTCAAATCGACTTGACAGCAGCGAGTTTGTTCTTTTTGGAAATGCTATGTATATAAGCTCCATTTCCCTGGGTTCCTGTAGTTGCATTTCCTCTTTTCTCTAAGAATCAGAAGTTCAGGTATAACCTACTGAACCATGTTCCTCATGCCAAAAATAGTTTCTTTGCCAAGATCCAGCAAAGACTCTTCATGAGTTGTCAGATTTAAAATTATGTCAAGAAAATATGAAGAAGTCTTTATAGTCCCAATGGAGAGTGTTCATTTTCTAAATTAAGTAAGAAGCTGCAGAAGATGGATCACCAATTCCAAGCTAATTCCATCAAAATGTCAGCTTATAATAAAACTTAAAGTCCAGTTTGGTTGAGTCCAAGTTACCAGCTGCTTAAATTTTTTGCATCATTAGATGATCAATGCAAAAGCTTTCAGACAAAATACAGAATCAAGTGAGTCCAAAGGGCATCCAAAGATCAGCTTTGCTTCCATGTGACATCCCAGGATTCCAGGTGAGCCTGCTATACCAGGGAGTCCCCGCCCCCACACAACTACCTCCCTCTCTACCTTTAAAGCTGGGAATCTCTCCCCTTTTGAGAAGTTTCATGAGTCAGTACTTGTTTCTGTAACCATTTGCATTTTTTATTCCAAGAAGAAATCCTTTACTGGTGTGTGTGAGTGTGTGTGTGTGTGTTTCCCCCAGATTAAAAGCTCCAGTTCCCTTTGGCTCAACAGTTAAGCGCTCGCTCAGCTGGTACTAACTGAAAGGTCAGCAGCTTGAACCCACCCAGTGGCTCCATGGGAAGAAGATCTGGTGATCTGCTCTCACAAAAATTGTTGCTGTTGTCAAGTGGGCTCCGACTCACAGCGCCCCTGTGTACAACAGAATGAAGCACTGCCCGGTCTTGTGCCGACTCACAACTGTCGCCACGCTGGATGCCATCGCTGTAGCTGGTATGTGAGTTCATCTCGTTGAGGGCCTTCCCCTTTTCGCTGACCCTCTACTTTACCCAGCATGACATCCTTCTCCAGGGACTGCTCTGTTGTAACATGACCGAAGTCTGAGAGACGGGGCCTAGCCATTTTCGCTTCTGAAGAACATTCTAGCTGTACTCCCTCCAAGACAGATCTGTTCATCCTCCTAGCAGTCCATATTAATATTCTTCTCTAACACCACAATTCAAAGGCATCAATTTTTCTGCAATCTTTCTTATTCACCGTCCAGTTCTCATGTGCAGATGAAGCTATTGAAAATACGATGGCTTGATATCCCAAATGAAGGTCCAGAAAGCTTTACTCCACCCACATCACTAAGGTTAGCCCTACTTTGAGGAGGCAGCTCTTCCCCAGTCGCATTTTGAGGGCCTTCTGACCTGAGGGGTTCATCTTCCGGCACTACATTTTCAATGTTGCCCTGCTTTCCATAAGGTTTTCAGTGGCCGATTTTTTCCACCCCCAGAAATGGACCTGGCCACAGCCTTCTTCTAGTCTGCCTTAGTCTGGAAGCTCTGCTGAAGCCTGTCCACCATGGGTGGCCCTGCTGGCATTGAAATACTGGTGGCATAGCCTCCAATATTACAGCAACACGCAGGCCACCACAGTACAGCAAACTGACAGATGAGTGGTGGCTCATAAAAATTACAGCCCAGGAAACCCTATGGGGCTGTTCTACTTTGTCACGTGGCATTTCTATGAGTTAGGGCTGACTTCACAGCACCGAACAATAACAATAACAACAATACGCACACCAGTTTTCTGGCCACTGCTTTTGTGACTCCTTCCTAAGGTCTACACAAGAGCACTCAGGGTTGGGAGTAGGGGACAGGGGGAGTGTAGCCTTAGAGTTTCTAGTAAAACTATCCACGCATTTGGTTATCAGGAAATGCTACTTCTCTATGTGTAAGACCCCATCTCCAAATGATTCTGGTCTGAGAATCAGGAGGGAGTGCTGGTTACTCATCTCCGTGCTATAATAAGGTCTGGGAAAACCAAGACTCAGGCAGAGAAAGATGCTGATTCTTCTCTGTACTCAGAGAAGAAACAAAATAGAAGCAAATAGCTCAGCTTAAAACAAGCACAAACAGATAACAATGCAACTACAAAGTAAAATGGTGCAAGTTCAGCCTCCACTTTGTCTGGGAATGATTACAGCTTACCTGTGTGTTTCTCCAATTCTTCTTGGACAGCTGAATTCTCTGAGGGCAAAGACCAGGTCTGTTTTGTATAAGATGAGAACCCAATCCCAACACCCACTATGCTTTATCAACACTACCTGAATCCATGAGTCGATACAAAAAAGCCTAGATTCCATGCCTAAACCAGGCCCCACATATGGTCTCGTATGCCTATCCTTGTTTTACTCCGGGTCATACGTTGAATGTTTCTTAAAAGAGCCATTAAGAAAGCAACTCTCTCCAAGAATTTATGATCATACTTGCACAAAAATATGGTGTCCCACTCCTCTACTCACATTTTTTTAAGTCTTAGGAAGAACACATCTCTCTTAGAAAAAGGCAGCAGTTAACTATTTCACATAACACTCAGGATCTACTCGGACAGAAATTACTTTTCTACACAGACGATGCAACCTATGCTTCAGGCCCCTGGGGTAGTCCCTGGGAAAAATCTTCACAAGGTGTACCCAAGAACTATGGTTTTGTAATTCTTCTAAATAAGGAATTTTAATACTCTTTTCTCACACAGTCCTTTTCCATCAAATTACAGAGCCTCAAGTCCTACAACACCGGGACCTGTCCCTACCCTTCCCCTCAAGTGTGACCAGACTTTTTAACAAGAGTATCAGCCTCCGCCCTGCCATACTTAGGTTCGGTAGCTTGCTCTATCAATTTCGTCGTGGTCTTCCCACCACCTCTTAGCGCCTCTGTGAACAGGAGAGGTGCCTGCCTGGAGAACGTGCACTAACATACCGCGGAGAGTAGGGCACTGCAGGTGGTGGAGGGATGTAGAGGTCCAGGATGGCCGGCTTCTCCTTCTTCAGCGAGGCCATGGTGCTCTCGGGGGACTGGGTGGTTGTGGGTGGAGGAGACGTCTGAAACAAGAGCAGCAGGGCAGGACGCATGGTTTAAGAGGCTACTGCAGAGATGACTCTGGGCCAGCTCCCCCACCAGCACCACCCCATGGGTACACAGGGCAAGGCCACCCACATGTCCACAGCTGTACCCAACATTCATCTTGCATGGGTCTTTGAGACTCAGTTAACTGAGAGCTTTTTGACAGAATAGATACACAGTGATTCAGTGGTAGAATTCTCACTTTCCATGCGGGAGACCTGGGATCAAACCCTGGTCAATGTACCTGATACGTAGCCCCCACCCACCTCTCAGTGGAGGCTGGTGTGTGGCTATGATGCTGAACGGTTTTCAGCAGAGCTTCCAGACTCAGACGGACCAGGCAGAACACCTGGAAATCTGAAGATCAGCCAGTGAGGACCCTGTGGGTCACCCACACAAAACCCATCATGGGGACAACACAGGACTAAGGAGTGTGTCATTCCATTGTGTATGGGCTGCCACGAGTCAGGGACCAACAGCAGATATACAGTGGTAAAAGTATGGTCTCTGGTGCCAGGAGCCCAGGTCATAACCCGAGCTCTGGACAAATTACTTAAACTCTTCTGCCTCAGTTTCCTTCTATGGAACAGCCACACCAACAATGCCTGTGGCACAGAGCTGCTGAGAAGCGACAGGAGCCAGTTCATGAAGTCCCTACCAATGCCGCTGCTATTAGGAGTCAGGGCTAGAAATCTCAGTCTGGGTGTGATCCTGCCAACACCGCCACTAGCTGTCCTTCTCCAAGGATATCAGTCCATGTCTCCGTGCCTCACTCATAAAACAGAAGCAAATGCAGACAAGAACAGTGCCAACACAGGGCAGCTGTGAGAAGGAAAGGCAGTAATGCAACTGGAGGGCTCAGGAGCCAGCTCGGCAGGGAGCCGGAGCACGGCCCCACCCTGTAGATTCTGTATTATTCATACACACAAGTTAATTTAAAAATTTAAAGTCCACGTAGCTTCATTTTAATTATGTTGACTGGTCTCAGAAGGAGCTCTGGTAACACCATGGCTGAGCAGTTGACTGCTAACTGAAAGGCTGGCGGTTTGAACCCACCTAGCGGCTCCATGAAAGAAGGCCTGGTGAGCTACTCCCATAAAGCTCATGGCCTTGAAGATACAATGGGGCAGTTCCAGCCTCAAAAATACAATGGGGTCCCAGAATCCGCACAGTGGCCCCTGACAAGGACAAGCCCTCAGCGCAGATCAGGTCCCTGCTGGCTCTCCCCTCCCGTCCGGCCTCTCTCCTTCCCTTTATGTTTTTCCCTCGAAAATCACTCTCAAAGGAATCTATGTCTCAGATGCTGCTTCTAGGGAACGTCCCCAAGACCCTGCTGTTATCAGATGCCGGTAAAGACATGTTGAAAGCATTCCCTCATCTCCTCCATGCTGGGCACTTCCATCTGCCAATCCAAACCCCAGAGACCTGGACAGGCTCCCAGCACTCCATCTCCTCTGGGAAGAATGTCCTAACCCACACGGTCCACACCCAGCTTCCTTCTCCTGACACAGCGTTTACCCGTGTTGTCGCAGGGCTAGCAAGAAACACATACCACATAAATGATCTATGATGAATCAAGTACCTCAATTATGTGAAGTAGGAGCTCTGGTGGTGAAGTACCTAAGGCATGTGACTGCTAACCAGAAGGCTGGTGGTTCAAACCCACCAGCCACTCCAAACCCACCAGCCACTCCAAACCCACCAGCCACTCCTTGGAAAGAAGGTTGGGCGATTTACTTCCATAGTGATACCGCCTCGGAAACTCAAGGAGGGGTCGCTATGAGTTGGATCTGACTCCACAGCAGTGAGTTTGGTGTTTTTTGGAATATGTTAAGTAGGAACTCTGGTGGTATAGTGGTTCAGGCATTGGGCTGCTAAATAACCAAAAGGTCTGCAATTCGAACCCAACAGCCCCTCTACAAGAGAAAGATGAGGCGGTCTACTTCCATAAAGATTTACAGCCTTGGAAGCCGAATGGGGGTCACCATGAGGCAGAATGGACTCAATGGCAGTGAGTTTGGTGTGTTTTTGGATTTTGTTAACTAAGGACCTCTCGTGGTATAGTGGTTAAAGCACTGGGCTGCTAAAATAACCAAGAGATTGGGCATTCAAACCCAACAGCCCCTCCAGGGGAGAAAGATGAAGCAGTCTGCTTCCACAGGGATTGAAACCCTGTGGAGCAGTTCCATTCTCTCCAAGGTTGCTATGAATCAGACCAGACTCGATGGCAGTGGACCTGGTTTTGGTATTATGTGAAGTAACATAATCTTAGAATTGCAATAAAGGGAGGCTGCACCTCCTACTGGGGGATGCAAACAGAAGGAGCTAAGGAGACCTACACTCTCAGTTATTATGTAACAAGTGACTTGTGTTCTATACCCCTCGGGGCTCCAGCCTCTGACCAGTTGCTGCAGAATCAACTCCAACTCCTAGCATCCATACAGAACTGCTCTGTGCTCCGTGGGGTTTGCAAGGCCGGAGTTTTGGGAAGGGGATTGCCAGGTCTTTCTTCCAAGGTACCCCTGGGTAAACTCAGACCTCCATCCTTTCAGCTAGGAGCTGAGCTTGTTAGCATCTGCACCATGGTGTTACTTATGTTTAAATCCTCCCTGTAAGGAACACACATAGGTGCATTTCCAGTATCATTCTGTGCCCAAAGTGACGGTCCGAGATCATCGTTCCTTTTTGTTGAAGATGTACAAGAAGGCGAGTCAGTTACAGATACAATTTAATCTGAATTTTATAAAACAGCATTAACATATCATTCCTTTTCATTTGTGGTTTAGTAAATGAGCACGAAAGACCAACGGCATCACAACAGGGTGTCAGACAACATGGTCTATTGAGGTGTCGGCCAGAAGGAGGTGTACTGTTTGTAGACAATTTAAATAATAAAACTCCCTCAGAGTCAGTGTTTTTTATCATCAACAGAGGCTGGCAATCCTAACGATGTCAGAGACACCACACCCATCCCTGCCTTGGTTCATAGTAACCCTACAGGACAACTGGGCTGTAATCCTTACGGAAACAGATCACCTGGTCTTTTCTCCCTCAGAGTGGGTGGGTGGACTAGAACCACTGACCTTTCAGTTAGCAGATGCTAACTATTAACCATTGTGCCACTAGGGCTCCTTGGTAAACCACTGCTAATAGCTCAGCCCCATGAGGCCTCCGTAAGATCAGTGTGCAAACTGTATACATTTAAACTAGTATGTACTTGATCCAGAGAGGAGGAGAATGAACTGTCTGTGATGTTGGAAATGCCCCCGTCTGTGTCGTACAATATGACAGCCATTAGCTGGAGGTGCCTTTTAAGCACCTTAAATGTGGCTACTGGGCCGGAGGAATGGAATTTGTACTTTTATCTAATTTCATACTTAAACAGTGACCTGTGGCTAGCGGGCACTGCCCTGCACAGTGCAGCCCTAGACTTTAAGTTTCCATATAAAGGCAGGAGTGTGGCATAATTGTACATACATCAACACTACCTTCCTGAAACCAATCACCTTCAAGTTTTAATCTCTTTTTAGAAACGATTCAAACATTGTTTTGCTCCCGGGCCTATGCTGGGTGAGGGCTTCCAATGAACAACCAACCTGCACAAGAGGTGGCTTCCACCGTAGGTTCTTCAGGGGAGCGGGAGCGAAGTGGAAGGAGCCTGTGGGGCGCTTCTTAAGCAGTAAGACTACTCCTGTGGGGTTCTCTCTCAATTTTCTCACCAGGTTTTTCAGCTGCCATCCCACCTTCAAAAAAAAAAAAAGAAAAGAGGTAAGGGGGCTTGCTCGTGAATAATGAAAAAAATCAAACCTAGAAATTTATCCCAAGAAGTTATGGGCAAACAGAGATAAATATGGTCACTTTAGCACCAGCTAAGACAGTGGAAAACTTGATGTAGACTGCAGATTTTAATGGATAAACACAATGGCCTTAGATTTCATAAAGAGTATATCTTAATAAACAAACTCACCACCGTCTGCTGGTTAACTTGAATGACTTCGTCACCAGCGTGGATCTTCTGACATCTGTCTGCAGGGGACTACACAGAAACAAAGAGACATGACGTCATCGTAACAACCCTCTGTTTCTCTCTGCTTCCATTCCTTCTTTCTTTCCTCTGCAGACAACTAGCAATGAAAATACAGTTTTCTCAGAGAAAATTAAACAGTATACTTCAGTCCCCCGTAACTATGTGGGCTATAGAACCTGCCACAGGAATACCGTATTATGTATGGTTACAACTGGTAACAGTCAAAAAACTCAGGTTCATCTAACCTAGCCTTGGGAATCTGGATACGTTATTGAAAACAATTCGTTAGTAAAAGTCATTGGTTCATCTCAAAAAAATCACCATAAAAATTAATCTTCTTAAAGCTAACCTATTGTTTCAACATAAGCATGACCTTTGTAACTCTTGTCATCCCATTTCCTTTTAAACAATTATTAAAACTAATTCTTACTTTTATTCAATCTTGGTTTACTTGTTATCACAATACTATTAAAGTAGCATTAAGTAATAACAATTAAAATGCTTTTAAACTAGAAAGATGTTGGCAGTGGGAGATTTCTTTCTTTAGAGACATTTAATTTAAATGTTTTATTTCATTTTTAAGCTCAATTCAAAATGAGTGAGTTTCAGTGTCAAAACAAAATCTAGACTGTGTTTCTCCCAAGTAAGACATAGTTAAAATTTGAAAAAAAATCTATGTATTCATAAAATGATGTAATGTATTTGTCACACATATGTCTGTAAGTATTCCTGTTCATGTAAGGTACCCAAAACCCTTGTGTTTAAGACAGCACATATGACTTGAAAGGGGAGGGCAGGAGCATCTGATTTCTAATTATAATCAAATGTTATGTAGGCCAGAGATTTTATTTTGTAATTTGCACAATCTTCAAACAAAGTATAACTATCCAAAAAAAAAAAAATAGCACCTTTGGACACCAGGAGGGGGCAGAACTCAGGACACACTTTCTGGGATTTCACTCTCAACAACTGTGACAGGCCCAACAAGAGGCAGGCAAACAGCACTGCCCTGTAAAACATTTCCCCTGCATCTAGGTCCAACACTAGGCACTGAGAACTGTGAGTCAGCTGACCTGTTGTCATAACAACCAGAAGCACCTCACCTGAGAGCCCAGCCATGTTCCTACCACAGGGAAATGGCCTGTCTCCAGTCCCTTTCTTTTGAGACACTAAAGAAAAAGATGAATTTCTCTAGGCTCCTGTTCTTTCAAACCTTGTGTGCCAGATGTTTCACCTATCATTACAGACCTACTTAGATAAATCTGATCCTGATTAGCATAGCCCAGTTCACCTGCCTGGACTGAAACATGAAAGAGATATTTGTTTAGGTGAGTTTCACTGCCCACCTTACACCCTCAATCCACATTCTGGGATGGCCCCAAGGCCAGGAACCCCAGTTTATAGATGTACAATCTTAAAACACAAGCCCCATGTCCTGAGTTGACTTCCTTTCCTAAGGCTCCTAGGGCATTCAGTTCTCAGATGTCCTACCAAGTGATTAAGACATGTGCTTGGCAGAACACTGGTAAAGAGAGAGCTTGATACCCATATTCCCCTTAGGGCAGGAGCCCTTGCCTATCTTCACCATGAGCCAGGCTACTGGAAAATGATGCTTGTCCACAGAAGGTCGATGACCGGGAGAAGAAGGCACCTATTCTTCAGATGCTGATCTGGGCTTCGCCTAATCTTGCGGCTGGGGTACAGAAGCATGGCTGCAATTCTGTCCTAAGTCCTGTTGAGGTCTTGAGCAACATCAGAAAAGAAGGCAGATAAATAATTGCCAGACAGTGTTAGTTGGACATTGGAATGACCCTGGCCACTCAGGTAACCTTCACAATACACATGGCAGAGGCCTGAGAAGGCCCATTGGCATTGCTTTACACTCCAGTCCAAGACAGAGGAGGAGGAGGAGGAAAACAGTTCTCCTGGGGGTGTAATGGGATGACTTCTGCCCACCTCCACCCCATACTAGGCTTAAAAAAAAAACATTCTACCTCTGAAGTCAGATGACCTCAAGCGACAGCCGGAAAGCTATCCTAGAGTGAATCCATGGGGTTTACAGTAGCAATGTTCCACACTTTTCTCCAAGACTGAAAATGTTTCAAGACCAGATGGGGCCTGGAACAGCACAGGTCTGGCTGGGTCCAACAAACGTGATAACCACACTGATCACATTCCTAGGTGCAAAGCTTCAACTCTTTCAACACAGAAGCCACCTAGGAGGCACTGAGCTTCTTAAGGTTGGTGGCAAGATTTGGAAATGGACAGTGGTAACGGTTCAGCATCATGATACACATCACTAATGTCACTGAATTGTACACACAAAGAATGTTGAAATGGCAATTTGTTACATGTATATTTACTGCAATGAAAAACAAAAACGTAAAACAGAAACAACATTCATAGTCCTGAACCCATCCAACTGCAAACAATGTACTCAGTGTATGGGAGTAGATTTAGTTGATGTGGGCCCATTTCTCCAACCAGGCTAAGAGCTGAGATGTTTCTTCATTAGCACCATCCCACACCTAAGAGGAGCCTCTTGTACTGTTCTTGTCTCTCAGGTGACTTGGTATTCTCATTGTCACTCAACAGAGAATGCTTAAAATACACCACCACCGTCACTCATTTGCCTGCCAGAACTGTATAGTTCATTTGTAATTCACTGACTGCCTTAAGCAAAGTCATTTTCGTACACAAAAATCAGGAGTTTGTCACAAACCCTAGTCAGAGATCATGGTATTTTATTTTATCAGAAGACTTAGCAACCAAAGCACAAAATCAGACATTGAAGAGATTATAAAAGTAGTTACCAACATTTCCTCTAGTTTCAGGACTTTTTTTTTCTCTTGTCTTCCTTGATTAAATAGTAGATAAATTCCACAGACACATGCTTCTTTGAACATAGACACAGGGAAGCTAATCATTCTTAGTTTAACATTAATATCAAAGTTGGCTATATTGTAGGTTGCAAGAAAGCACTAAAATATTGCTACTTTTTACAAATTCATCATGTTTGAGAGGCTGAAGGAAAACTCTACATGAAGGAGAATTTATAGAAATGAGCAAACAATGTACACAAGTTTCTCACATTAGAAGCAGCCCTTCTCTTTCTACTCGAAGGACTGGGGTTCAGGGAATCTAAATTTCATTACCTTGCCAAATAGGACAAAATACAACTCTATAAAAAGAATCTGTGTCAAGTAAAAAAAATCCCAAAACAGCTGCTTTGGTGACAAATATGAATGCCATTAAACAACAAAAAACTATTTACATTTTACATAGGTGGTCACCAAACTCAGGTCTTAGAGGACTGGCTCTCAACAACAAAGACATCCCTGTTTTGAATCGATGGTTTAACACTCTCAGGGCAAAAGGAAGAACTAACACAAGGGTGGAGGTCAAAATTGGGCAGGGTCTGTGAACAAGAGCAATGGGGGCAATTTAAATAATAAATTGACAACAGCTGGTGATAAGCCAGGCTCTATAAACAGAAATAAACAAAACAGGCACCCTTGTTTTGACTGCCAACAGTGAAACAACATACATACATTTAAATGAAAATTAGAGAGACCTCGTGTCAAATTTGCTTAAACGCACACTAGTCTTTACATTTAATGGCTCTCCACTTACATTTTCTGTGGTTCCGGTAATCACATGCAATCCATCATAGGTTGACTTGATGTACATGCCCTACAGGGAGTCAAAACATATTAACTCATTACTCCAACATTCAGAGGGATCGCCACCAGTGAGGCCTCAGCTTATGAAACACTAAAGGCAGATCTCTCAGAACAAAGCTCGTTTTTATGCTTCTCAAACCACCATGACACTAGACCCAAAGGGTGGTATAGGGGAACGAAACAAACTGAAGACTAGGGAAGGAAGTCAGAAGTGAGATCCATGCTATTATCATATGTGGATCACGTGTGCCAGAAGCATGTCACAACGCTGGGAACTTGCAAGGAGCCTTCTCGGACCTACTGAATGGGCAAGGCATTTCAAAGGACTTTCCTTCCTAACCATCTCTCTGTTGTTGCTGTGGAGTCGATTCTGACTCATATGGTCCCTACAGGACAGAGTAGAACTGCCCCAAAGGGTTTCCTATGATGTAATCTTTATGGGAACAGACTGCCAGGTCTTTTTTCTTCCATGGAGCTGCTGGTGGGTTCAAACCACTGACCTTCCAGTTAGCAACCGGGTGCTTTACCTACTGCGCCACCAGGGCTCCTTTCAGTTTGCCTAGTGACAAAATATATTCAGTTAAATTTGATCATCAGTAATTGCAGAAGGACTTACACAGCACCGATAACCCACACCAGAATATAGCAGTGGCACACTCAGGATGGGGAAGCAAATTAGGACCAGGTCCCCGTAAACAACCTGTGGCCATCAAGTCCCTTCCGACCCGTTAGCACCATGTGTCCCAGAGTCCAACTGTGCTCTGTAGGGTTTGGATGGCTACAGTTTTTCGGAAGTAGACTGCCAGGGCTTTCTTCCAAGGCACCACAGATGGCTGGATTCGGTTGGCAGCCCAGTGAACTGTCTGTACCCCACAGGAGCCCATGCACATTAAGGGAAGCATGGAGCTGAATAAGTGCCTTCCTAAGAAGCCCAGGAAAACTCGAAGGCACTTGGCATATCACTGAGAAAACACGTCTGCAGTTTTACATGTTGTTGTTGTTGTTATGTGCCGTCTAGTCGGACCCGACTCATAGTGACCCCTCCTAGGGTTTCCAAGGCAGTATCACTACAGAAGTAGATTGCCCCATTTTCCTTTGGAGGAGTGACTGGTGGGTTTGAACTGCCAGCCTTCTGGTTAGCAGTCAAATGATTTAGGCACTACGCTACCAGAGCAATTTTACATACTGTTGTGTTAAAAATTTTAATTCAACTGTCACAAGAGAGGAGAAAGGAGATGGGGTGAAAAGCAGTCACCCAGCCTGGCATCTATGTGGGGACACTGGAGACCTGCCTCAGAAAGTGTCTTGCCAAGAGCTTGCCTTGCTCATCCACCTACCCCGCTCTAAGATGAGAATCTCATCAAGCCCTAGCTCCTTCAGGCTCTCCCCTTCTCCTCCCATCCTGAAACCCCCATTCTGAGTAGATGTGTCAGATTCTCCCCTGTCAGGGGCTGGGGCCCTTCCCAGTGCCTGTGCTTGTACAATCTTCCCTCCGCAACAGCAACCCCACTGCTGTCTACTCAGGGCACGTGCCTGACTACCAAGCACTCCCAGGAAGTCTCCCTTGTTTAACTGCATCCACAATCACCTGTCGTTACCAAAGCCCAGCAGAATCCATGTGCGTATGTCTATCAACAATGCTGGCTTCTCGACCTCCACTTGACGTCTGCTTTCCTGTTTAAGAGAGGAGTCTGCCTTCACGTCTCCCCACAGCTACCCACACAGTAGGCATTTTATCCTCCTCTTCCTCATCCTCTTCAACCCCATCAACAGTGGCTGCAGGTGCCAACATTCTGTGCAGCTATGTGCACCCAGCACGAGCCCTCAGCATCTGCTGTCTAATTCAACATGTGAAGCAGTCCGAGGGGGAAGCTGGCATCCCTGGGGGCTGTAAACTACTAAGCACTCAACCATGAGATGAAAGGTCAGTGGTTCGAACCTGCCCAGAGGTGCTTGGAATGCAGGCCTGGCAATCTGCTCCTCAGAGGTCACAGGCTTAAAAATCCTATGGAGTGAGTCTACTCTGCACCACAGGTCACCGTGAGTGGGAAACAACTCAACAACAACAAACGGCAGTGATGGTGCTGTCATCACCACTCTCTTCTGACAGCTGAAGAAACTGACCGGTACATAAAGTCATTTGAGGGTTTGGAATATTCAACTTGGCTTTCTGTGGCTCAAAGACCATAGGCCCTCATCTAATCACTGGGCCTCACAGTCTCTTTACTTAAATTTCAGTAAGTTGATCACCCAGGATGTATGCCCTCTAGGTACTAGGAGACCACCTCCATGTTTTCTCAGGGCCTGTTAGCACAGGAACTCTGGTGGCACAGTGGTTAAAACATTGGGCTGAAAACAAAAGGTCAGTGGTTTAAACCCACCACCCACTCAGAAGGAGAACAATGAGGCAGTCTGCTTCCACCAAGATTTATAGTCTTGGAAACCCTATAGGGTAGTTCTACTCTGTGCTACAGAGTTGCTGTGAGATGGGATCAATTCAGTGGTAGTGGGTTTCGGTCTTGGGCTACTACACAGCTCATACATTACTTACAAAATGCCTCTGAACTTTTTTAGAGAATCATTTCCTTCAATGAGCCTCTCTCACCTTCATCCTACGTGCTGATAGAGACGTTTGGGCCAGAGTTTGTTTTTTCACCTAGAAACCATCTTTCCTTTGTGTAAACATTTTCTATCTCCTTGCGTTGCTATGGCCTCAAAATAAAACTCTTAAAACAATTCCTTCTAGACATGAGGGCTCAGTTTTTAAGTTGTATTTATTTTATACTTTGAAGAGAGAAAACGTTATCAACAGAGTTCAAGATGGCAAGTGCCCAGCTCCACAAAGGAAGACAATCTAATTCAACTACTTAGAGCAACAGGAAGGCAGCACAGAATCCTAAAACAGAAAGAAAAGCGCGACTAAACGGCGACGTGTGCTGTTCCGGAAAACGAAGCACGCGTGTGCACTCTTACCAGGCCTTCCCCGGGTTTGATGTTTGGCAAACGGACTTCCTCGAGACACGCACACTGGTTCATGAGGGGATCTGTGGTGGATTGGACTGTTTTGTCACAGATGCCATTTAAAACCTTGACCTAGAATTGGAGAGGCAGAGTCAGGAGAGTTGCAACCATTAACCAAGTTTATCTAAAGCAGGGTTTGAGGACATGCGCTTCACCTGTAACCTCTCCTTACAACTGGCGTTCATTTGGCTAGGACCGCTCCACGAGTGCATGGCATTTGGCTCTGTATCTGCACTGTGGGAGCAGTGCCGCCCTCCAGCTTTTTTTAAAAAGCACAGCTTTCTGTGAACTCACGTACAGCCAGTGACACGCACAGGCCAGCCAGAAATCCCCCTGCAGCAGGTAAAGAGAAGCGTCTACTCCCCTCATCTGTCCGGCTGTTCAGGGATCACCACATTCTTCAAATACCACACACTGAGGAGATATGATGCTTTCTTTCTGAGTGCACCTTTGTTCACTTTTTTTTTTTTTTTTTAATTATGGACTATTTTTCAGAGCAGTCTTAGATTTACAGAAAAATTGCACAGAAAGGACAGAACTCCCAGATGCTGCCCTGGCCCTGTGTGCTGTCTTTCCTGTTATTAACATCTAGTTTAATGTGTGGTATATTTGTTACCACTCATGAGCCAACATTAATATGTGATCATGGAATCCTGCAGTTTACATCAGCGTCCACTCTTGGTGTTGGACAGTCCCATGGCTTTTAACAAACATATAATGTCATGCATCGGCCATCCCAGAATCATACACAAGTTTGTTGTTTCTGTTGTGTACCATGAGGTTGATTCAGATTCACAGCGACCCTACAGGAAAGAGCAGAACTACCCCATAGGGTTTCGGGGCTGTAATCTCTACAGGAGCAGACCAACAGGTCTTTTCTCCTGCAGAGCTACTGGTGGCTTTGAACCACTGACTTTCTGGTTAGTAGCCAAATGTTTAACCACTGCACCACCAGGGTTCCCACATAGCTTCACTGTCCTCAAAATCCCCTGCATGTGGCCTATCTATCCCTGCCCTCCCTAGGGCACCTGCAACCATCGATCCTACTGTCTCTATAGCTGAGCCTTCTCCGGAATGCCACATGGTTAGAATCATACAGTACATGTAGCCCTTTCAGAAAGGCTTCTTTCTCTCAGCAACGCATATTTCAGATTGTTCCATGTCTTTTCACGGCTCATTTCTTTTTATTACTGAAAAATATTCCACTGTATGATTATATCATCTATCTACTTATTAAAAGAGATCTTGGTTGCTTCCAATTTGGGGCAATTAGGAATAAAGCTGCTGTAATATAAGCACTCGTGTGCAGGTTTCTGTGTGAACATTAAGTTTCCAACTCATTTGGGTAAATACCTAGGAATATGGTTGCTGGATCTTCTGATACGACTACAGTTAACTTTGTAAGAACCTGCCTGCCTGTCTGTCTTCCAAAGTGGCCGAATTACTGGGCATCCCTACTGCGGTGTAGTAAATTACTTAGTGTGGCTTTTCTACCCACAAGTCTTTGTAAACTCCAAGGTGGGATTTTCTATGAGCAACTAAGGAACTCCTGATTGCTGAAGGTGTCCACCTGGAGTATTTCTGTTGGGAGTGGCACAAAACAATGTTCTGGGAGGTACCCACTCCCTCTCAAGTGCTTAGAGTTCTGATGCTATGATTGGCTAGTTTGACCACCCTGCCGGCTCAAAAGGAGGCCTCCTAGAGGCAGAACTCTCTCTGACTGCTGGTTGAGGAAGACGTGCTGCTGAAAGAGACACGGGCTCCTGAGACACGCGTTGCTGGAAAAGAGATGCAACAGACATGCACTGCTGAGTGAGACACCGAGGGACCAGTACTGCTGGGAAAGAGACTGTGAGAGACTGTTGGCTGAGGGACGGTGGGCTGGGAGAGAGAGTGAGCATTTTTCCTGAACTTGAATTGTAGCCTGTGGTGCTTCCCTAATAAACCCCATAATCTGTGAGCTTTGTGTGGCCACTGCAGCGAATTATCAAACCCAGGAGAGAGGTGGTGGGTGCTTTGGGAGGAACGGTTGGAGAAAGGGCTGGAGGGAGGCAGCATGTCTGGCCTGGCAGGAATAGGCCTTGGGCTACTGCTGGTAATCCTGTCTTCCTCTTGTAGGATTAGAGGAGGTTGGAACATGTGGCCTCCTTGGCCTTTTTGCAACCACTCTCAGTGAATGAGAGTTCCTATTGCTCTACATCCTTGTCAGCATTTAGCATTGTCAGTGTTTTGGATTTTAGCCACTCTAATGGGTGTGCAATGCATCTCACTGTTGGTTTAATTTGCAACTTCCTAGTAACATTTGACTGCTAACCAGAAGGCTGGCAGTTCAAAACCACCAGCCACTCCTCAGAAGGAAGATTGGGCAAACTGCTTCCATAGTGATACCACCTCGAAAACCCAAGGAGGGGTCGCTATGAGTCGGACCTGACTTGATGGCAGGTTTTGGCTTTTTTGGACTTGAGTTTGGTTTTTTTGGAAATGACACATGATATTGAGTGTCTTTTCGTATGCTTATATGCCATCTATACACTTCTTTGCTAGGTGTCTGTTAAGATTCTTTATCCATATTTTATTTTATTTTATTGAGTTTTAAGAGCTCTTTGTATACTTTGGATATAAATTTTTCATATGTCTGCTTTGCAAATATTTTTTCCAGCTTGTGACTTGTCTTTCCATTCTCTTAACAGTGTCTTTCACAGAGCAGAAGTTTTGAATTTTAGTGAAATCTAACACACCAATTTTGACTTTCATGGATTATACTTTTGGTACTCTATCTAAAATAACGGTATTGTTTTGTATCTAAAACTCATCGTCAATACCATGGTCACCTAGAGTTTTTCCCATGTCATCTTCTACAAGTGGTACAGTTTTTGCATTTTCATGTAGCTCTATGGTCCGTTTAGTGATACTCACATTCTCTAAATGTCGTCTTTTGACAACGTAAAACCATGAAGAGCCAAAGATGAGGATCCCTTTTAAGTGGACTCCATGTAGAAATCCCAGTGGTCACGTATGGCAATTTTAATCAGATTCATCTAACCTTTCAAAACTAAACAACCAAAGAAACCAGGAAATTCCAAAGAGTGACTTTTCTTTCCAAGGGGAGAATCCAAGAAATGACACTTCTCAAATCCCTCCAAGTTGTTGAGCCTGACTATTTATGGAAAATGTATTTATAGCAATTTCATTCCTAAATTCCTCAACATCAGTAGGAGTAGAGTCTTATCAAAAGAGCACAGCCTGGCTTATGTCAAAAGGAGGAAGCGATGAAGAATAGCTACCAAACGCTCCTTAAACACTCACAGTGTGTCCCGCCTCCATCTGAGGGCGCTGCCAAGAAGTTTTTAAATCAAAATGGTCAGAAAGTAAAATCTTCAGATCAAGTTAACCCTGATTCACCAACCAGCTAGCTAGCAATTTAAGTGTAATTGTACCCCACTGAAGTGATTAGTGGGGAAAAAACAAACAAACCAGAGAAAAACCCGAAACTCAGTGCCATCGAGTTGACTCCAACTCCTAGCAACTATATGATGGAGTAGAACCCCATAGGGTTTCCAAGGCTGTATTCCTCATGGAAGCAGACTGCTACAATTCCTTCTACAGAGCAGCTTGTGGGTTTGAAATGTCAACCTTTAAGTTAGCAGCCAAGTGCTTCAACCACTGCACCACCAGGGCTCCTTGACCAGCGACCAATATGCCTAAATTCAGCATAGGACTTTTCATACTAGTTGGTCTGATTGTTAAATAATTTTCCCCCTAAATTAACAGAAGTGCATCCCCAAAACCAATATTTCAAAGTACAGATTGAAGTCATTAGCTACAGTGCATCTGCTTTAATTAATGTGACCCCAACACTTTCAGAAAAAGAATTCATGCAGTAACTTAGAACGTGTACTTACGACGGTTAACACTTTATCCTCCATTTCCTCTACCAGGCAATCCTAAAGAAGAGGAAGAAGAAAAGGCAAATGAAGTCTAAGAGCCAAAAACTTTCAAAAACTGTGAGCTTCACTCTAAACCCTTGAGAACTTTTCTAACAGTTCGAAGTCACACATGTGAGATAATCTCAAGACTTTTTTATAAAGACCTTTTCCTTCTCCCATGATTTCATGAAGGGTAAAAACAGGGGGCACATAAAATGTGGGGGGAGGGGGGAGTATCCAACTCATGGCGACCTCACGGGTTTCCGAGTAGCACCAACTCATGGCGACCTCATGGGTTTCCGAGCAGCACCATGCTCCAAGGGTTTTCAATGGCTGATTTCGGAAACAGATTGCCAGGACTTTCTTCCACGCTGCCTCAGGCCCCTCAAACCTCCAACCTTTCAGCAGCTTGAGTGTGTTAACCACATGCACCATCCTAAGACGTTCAAAACAAATAAACCCACTGCCATTGAGTTGATGCCTATGCATAGCAACCCTACAGGAGATGAAACTGCCCCACTTGGTTTCCAAGGCTGTAATCTTTACAGAAGCAGACTGTCACACCTTTCTCCCACAGAGCAGCTGGTGGGCTTGAACCACTAATCCTTTGGCTCACCATTGAGCACTTAACCACTGTACTACCAGGTCTCCTAAGGCCATCCCAAGATAGCACAAAATACTGCAAAATCTACTTCATGTTGGCCACCAAAGGCAGGTGCTTAGCAAAATTCCATGGGCAAGAGTTCCTGGAGCCCAGGACAGTTCTGACATCACACCCAACCGTAACCCCTGCAGCCTGAGCAGGGCTGGATCTCGAAAGAAGGGGCAGCTTGGAGTGCAGCTGACACCAACTCTCTCCTGAGGCTCTGCTCGTCTCTGACCCAAGGGGCATCGTCTCAGGAACCCATTTGACAGATCACTTCATTTAGAAAGCTTGAGAAATCATTGAACGGATGTTTAGCTACTGTCCAAACTGTCTAGCAAGGAGTAAGGCAAAAGCCAAAAGATCAAGAAACTTGACGATGGCTCCCAAATGCGACCAGGCCTCAGCAGCCATGAGCCAACAAGCCAGGGGTCTTTAGGTGTGGGCCTGCCTATAAGAACAGCTTCAAATAAGGGCTTGGGTAAACTTAGCCACAGAAGTTTATTTTAAGCACTGCTGAGATTAAATCAGATGTTTCAGTTCTCAATAGATGAAAAAAGCTCAACAAAACATTCATTAACACACTGCCAAAAAAAAAAAAAAAGTGGTTGTGAGGTATGCTATTGATGCCATTAAATAAAGGGCTGGAATGCGAAGTATTATTTATTCAGCTTAAGAACAAAAGCCACTGAGCACTGCAGGAACTAGAGGGCCAACTATAGGAATCACCACTGTTCTGTATAAAAGCAGCCAAAGTGAAACCGCTCCTGGGAAGCTTTCACAGGGAAACTTCTAGAACTTTTTGGAGACCGAGGATTTCTACCTACACTGCAGGGTGCACATAAAAGTAAGGTGACACTGACTAGGTTCTTTACAGCTTATTCAGCACCAGTAAGTATAATTAATCCCAAACTAGGACATCCTAGAAAAAACACAAAGCACTGTACCTGTGTGACCAACTTCATTCTAACTCTGTGAGAACCATCAGGTAAAGATTTAACTTAACTCAAAATGCCACCGTTTAGATCATGCAAAGAAGTGTGGCATGGTGTTTGACCTCCCCTAGCTTCACAAGGGGAGAGAACGTCGTGATCCACGTCAACAGCCCAAGAGTGATTCCTCTGAGGTGGAGCCAGACATGCCTCCACCCTCCAACCTTTCCACCAATTCTGACACCAAGCAGCCCGCCCAGGGCACTCTCCACTTCTCTGCTGAGTTTGATAACTCGTTGTAATAGTCACACAGAACTCACACACAATACTCGTGATTATGGGGTTTACTAGGGAAGTAACAGGTTATAATTCAGGATCAGGAATGACTCAGGATTCAGTTCTTCAATGAGGACAGGCTTTTCTCAGCAGTGCCCACAGGCACGCCTGTCTCTGGCCCTTGGCCTCTTGATCATGCAGCTCCTTGGCCTCACCTGCTTGGGCAAGCATGACGAAGTTCTTTTAGCTCTGCCACTGATAACTACTCAGGGGTACCACATTCGGGCAGGAAACCTCCTGCCTGGAGTCACTCAGCCTGGAAGCCCACAGCCCTATCTCCTGCCAGGTGTCCAGTTCTGCTGCTGCTATTTCTCGGCCATTGCTTCTCCCCATCTTTTGCCATCTCATCAAAGTGTCATGGTTCTCTGTCTCCTGGATCGAAGAGGTTCAGTGCAGGGATCTCGCGTCTGAAGGTTGTGCTCTACTCCAGCTCTTCTTGAGTGATCAGAGTGACATCCCCCCTTTCCACCTCCAGGATGGCTCATTTTAAGCCTAGCAGGATGGCAACACTGACCAGTGTTGACATTATTGTTCCATATACTTTATATGCATGGTCCCATCCCTACAAGGGTACCATACACTTTGTTTACATTATTAGCAAGCTATCCAACCCCCTTAGTAGGCCACAAGACCTCACATTTGCATAGTCCCACCCATTCATTTGGTAGGAATTATAAAGACTATGACTAGTAGGGCCATATTAAATAACTGCACCATATGTCATTTTTGACTACTACTATGGGGCAGTTCTACTTGGTGCTTACAGGGTTGCTATGAGTTGGAATCGACTCAATGGCAATGGGTTTTTAAGAAGGTGGCTACCAATTTCTACCCAATGCGACTGTATAATCAGATTGTGTTGTCTTCCTAAATTTTTTATTTTTGGTTAAGGCATTTGGCTGCTAACCAAAAGGTTGGTGGTTCAAACCCACCAGCTGCTCCATGGAAGAAAGATGAGGGAGGCAGTCTGCTTCCATAAAGATTACAGCCTTGGAAACCCAACAGGGGTCGCAGTGAGTTGGAATCAACTCAGTGGCAGTGAGTGTGGAGTTTTTTGAGCTACACTCACTGCCATTGACAAGCCCAAGGTTGACAAATAAAAAGGCACAGTCCCAATGTTACCAAACCACATGGTAGGCCACTAATTCAAGTCTACTGAAAGTCCCAAGATCGGCAGAGTATGGCAGGCTACTGGACAATGACTCAGTTACATGCAGGGTTCAAGCGTGCCATAAACTAGAGACCATTCCCAAAGCTGCTTCATATATACAAGAAGCAGACCATATCCCTAAAGCAGCTACTCAGCTACTTATGATAGATCCCACCATGGAACTGATTGCCCGTCTCATCATGAGGAATAACTACCACCAGCTGCCCAGCCACTCAACCAGGCCCAGCCAAGTTGACATACAACTTTAACTACCACAACAGTTGAAAAGTTACACTTGAAAATGTGCCTTCCCACCTCCATCTTATACAGAGAACTAAACCATCAATGACTACACTGGCTTATTCCTTACTACCTTTTGACTGTGAGCTTAATTAAATCAATATCATCTTCAGAAAAGGTGTGTACTTATGTGGTCTCATGCCAAAAAGAACACTAATAATTTGTGTTGATGACATTTCATGACAAAGCCCCAGAGAATTAAGCCCCGGCCGCCTTGTGAGTCTGCCACTCACAGGAAAGAGGTCTTTTCCACCCACCAGAGCTGAAGGTGCAAATCACTGGAAGGGAGATGTCTGAATCAAAGAGTCAAAGATCTTGATTCTTTGGTGGATCGAAGAAGCCTCCAAGAAAATGGGTTCCCTCTTGTGGGAAATGAGCCAACAGGTAAGAGGAACTCTCCTTTCTCCTAAAATGTTCAAGTCAGCAGGTGAAAGGGCTCGCTTTTCATCTCCCACCTCCGTGAACGTGGGTTCCCACACACATTCCTACAGAGAGGAAACAGCTGCAGGCGTGACTTCATACTGTTTGGCATGAAGTCAATGGCATGGAAAAAAGAGGTACTGGAACAAAGTTACCCCTCATGAGTCAGACAGAGAGGTTGGCAGTTGTGACATTCCTTGGTCACCTGGATCAGAATGCAGCCCAGCCCAAGTGGCAGAGACCCAGCCTCAGCAGCTCCCAGAAAGTTGCCTCAGACCTTTCCTTTCTTCTCCTCCTTATTCTGCCTTCTTACTGAGCAACCATAGGCAATACGTTGAACTTCTTTGTGCTTCTGTTACCATCTCTTTAAAATGGGGATGACAACAAAACCTATCTCCGAGAACCATCGGGGATTAAATATGTTAACATATGTAGAGCATGTCGTGTACAAGTGACACACACACACAAAAATACAACAAACCAGCTGCCATCACGTCACCTCTAACTCACTGTGACCTACATGTATGAGAGTAGAACTGTGCCCCTTGGGGTTCTCAACAGTTGATTTTTCAGAAGTAGGTTAACAGGCCTTTCTTCCAAGCACCTTTGGGTGAACTTGAACCACTAACCTTTCAGTTAGCAGTCAAGTGCTTGGTCGTTTGCACCATGCAGGGACTCTGAGACAAAATCAGCATTTCAGAAATGGTCTCAGTCTTTTCCTCTTCTGCCTCCATCATCTTTCTCTCTATCCGACTGTCTTGGCCTTTACGTTGCTCTGTTCCCCCATTTCTTTTCACACTGGAGCTCAGCACCTGCTCCTGTTGCCACTTCACATCTCACATTATGACTTCAGACTTCACGTCATCACAACATGAGGAGGACAACTGAGAATACAGACCACTACCCCTTGCCCTTTTGGTGTCTTTGCTTTAAAGTTATAGCCTCGAAACCAGGAGGGAAGACCTGCCCAAGACCATCCTTGTCCATGGTGACTTCTTAGAAAGAGCGTGTAGTTTCTGTACAGGGGAAACAAAGAGCAACCACTAACCTTCAAAGTGGAAATTTTACAAATTCTAGCAGAAGAGCTCTGGTGGAGCAGTGAGTAAGGCATTTGGCTGCTAACCACAAGGTCAGTAGTTCAAAACCACCAGCTTCTTTGTGGGAAGAAGATGAGGCAATCTACTTACATAAAGATTTACAGCCTCAGAAACCCAATGGGGGTCATGTGAGTCAGAACTGACTCTATGTCAGTGGGTTTTTTTTTTGTTGTTGTTTAGGAGAAGACAGAATGCAGAGAAAGAGACAAGAAGCCATGGAGGTCAATGACTTCCAAGAAAAAAATATCAATAAAACCATTTCATCCAGACAGAGCAGAACAGTACAGTCATATTACTCAAACCACCTTCCCAGGAGGCGTGCTCTGGTCATGTACCTAAAATTGTGCTCCACGCTCAACACAGCTTATTGACACTTCTCTAACTTAATTTTGCTTATTTATCTTTTTATTTTCTCTTGACTGTAAGTTCTATGAGGTCAGGAAATTTTTATTCACTCTGGTATCCCCGTGCCTGTAACAGTGATACACCTTTTTTTGTTGTTGTTGTTATTGTTGGGTGCTGTCAAGTCAAATCTGACTTACAGTGACCCCACGTGACAGAGCAGAAATACTGCAGTGGATTTGCTAGGCTGTACTCTTCACGGGGGAGCTCTGGTAGCATAGTGGCTAAGGCACTTGACTGCTAACCAGAAGGCTGGCGGTTCAAACCCACCAGCCACTCCTCGGAAGGAAGGTTGGGCAATCCTACTTCCGTAGTGATACTGCCTCGGAAACCCAAGGAGGGGTCGCTATGAGTCAGGGCTGACTCGATGGCACATAACAACAACAACAACAACAACTCTTCACGGGAGCCAATCACCAGGTCTTTTCTCTTATGGAATGGCTGGTAGATCTGAACTGTTGTCCTTCCAGTTAGCAGCCGAGCACTTAACCATTGCACCACCAGATCTCCCTAGATAGATATGAAGTGCTAACTGAGTATTATTGAAGGACTAGTCCAAATGCCTACAAAGGCAGTATCAACCTGTATAGGCAAAGCAGATTCATCTCATGTAAAGGAATCCTACCATCTCTGCCTTCAACTGCACCACTGGCGCCTCCTCTCCAACTAGGAGGAAAAGCAAGACCAAGGCAGCAGGAAACTACTCCCACCACAAATGGCAGGGCTCGGTGGCTATCTGATTGGTGAACACAACCGGTATCTCGCACCTCTGTCAAAATTACTGCATGCTTTGTAAACAAGAACAAAACTCAGAGCCACTTTAATTCCTCTGAGCACCCTTCCCAGAGGTAAAGTCCTGGGAGCCTGGAGTTCCACAGCTGTTTGGGACTGGATCTCAAACACCACGCACGTGCAGCCAAACTCCACTCTTCATCTTCCAGAAACACAAGGCCCACGACTCCACAGAAGCACATCTTATCCTACGGCACGGGCAGCCATGACGAAAAGGACTGGTTTATTTTTTGCCAAGTCAGCGTGGAAACGAAAGTGGAATCACAATTTTAGAACCAAGTGGGACATGAAAAAAGAACAGGTTATGCCTTCCATTTTATAACACAATTCAAAAATACTGAACAAGTGTCTGCTACGTGCCAGGTACTGAGACAGGTGGTAACTGTAAGAGCCGATAGCTTGATAAAAAACTAATAAAAAAAAAAATAAAAGGTAAGGTCACAGAAGCTAGTTAGTTTATAGGGAGACAGACGTGAAGCTGTGAAGCTTCTTGGGCCCTAACTAAGGTCTCTGGGTCTG